TGAAAACACCCCATCATGCTGTCAAACCCCCCAATGGTTTCAAATGTGAGATGGCTCTTTCACTGATAATGTCTTATTCGCGAAAGTGGCCCCCCTCCGAAAATGAGTGAATATCACTGTTTTAGGTCAAGGATTGGCCAAATAAAGTAGGTATTATTTGCTTATGTTTCTAAATGTCCGTAATAAAACTATATTTATGCCACCAGCTGAATGAGTGGCAGGAGGACTGGGTGACGTTCTTCTCACGGCAGCGACTGCAGCTTCAGCTGGACATGATAGAGAAGGACTACGGTGAACGGGAAACCCGCGAGCTCTGGTCTCGGCTTCAGGTTCGTAAGCTGTTTCACTCTCGCCCTTAACCCTTTCCTGTTCCGAGACGACTGCTCATTTCAGGATGGGTCTCGTTCACCACCGAATCTCGGAACGCGCAAGCGGTTCAGCGGTAATTTTATTTAGAGAGGCATAGCGCCGTTGTTTTTAAAGACATTGTACTCGCCGCAGAGCACCGTAGCGACAGGACAGCACTCTATTATAGCTGGTACCAAACTGTGCTACACACCTTCCCGCACGGCCTTGTGGGATCCTCGGTACCGATAAAGTTATTTAATATTTACTTCCTATTACGTTCCGATGACGTACACGAGATTCAGCGGTGAACGGGATGCACCCCGCAACTTGCAGTCATCTCGGAGCAGGAAAGAGTTAATACATGCAGCAGTGTAGCTCATCATGTGCACAGCCATATGGGAAACCCATTTGATCGCAGTGGGTTTTCGAGGTGACTTTAAAGGTAAAGTGGTGTTTCACACGCAGGCTTTCGCGACCAATATTATTCATGATAAAGTTTTTTTTGGCTTAGATAGCGTAAGTGTAAATGCGTCGTACACCCACATCCACCCAACACAGCCCATTAGTAATGTTTCTGACATGAACAGAACGTGCCATTTATGTTATTGCTCGGCACTCTGGTGTGTTAGAGAGGAAACGCAGAACATTTTCAAACGAGTACGACCTTTCGCTGGTGATTACACCCAGCATCATCAAGCAATTGCCAGAAGCGTTCTGGCTTCTGGCAATTGCCTAATGGCAATTGGAGTGGGTGTACGACGCATGTAAATTTATGCGATCTAACTCGAAAAAAACGTTATCATGAATAAAGTGGTGTTGTTTTTTGCGTGGTGTGCAGCTTCGGTTGGGGGAACGTTTGTTGATAGATGGCTCACTGAATTTTGCACGGAGGACCTCAATGGCATTGGCTCGGTGCTCTGACATTGAAATTAACCTCGAGCCACTCAATTTCCTGCATTACGTTGAATTTGTGAAAATGTTGTTCATTGTTATGTTGTTCGTGCTGGAACAGCAGCATTGTAAGATTTTGAATGTTTGGTGTTGTTTGGGTACAGGATGTTCCAGGAGCTTTAGCTCCACGCTTCACTCATCCTACCACGCTCTCATCCCAAAGTCACAAGGCTTCGGCAAGAGCCAGAAGCTCTAGCAACTCTTCCACTACCTGAACCACTGGAATCACTTTGGGACAGGATACCGAGGGTCATCCATCTCCACCATGCGCAGTCTCCTCAAGTGAATGAACGGTGCAGGAAATCGTGGGCTATGGTGTATGACTATAAAAATTATTATCGGCCATGATATACATTGTTGAATAAAGGCCTTCCCTAAGCCACCACTCAATCTCACAAAACTAGTCCATTTAAATGCTGTGCAATGCCCTAGGCATTCCACGTGAGTGTGACCGGGGGTCCCTTTGTTCCACATCCTGGCCGTGATCTCCACGCGAAAACTGGGTCAGTTAATGTCCGAATCAGAATCTTTAATTAGGCTGGACGAATCTGATGAGCTATGAAGCTCTTTTTTTCACAGATGTCCAGTCGGGGCGAGTCAGAAAGTTACAACAACAAACAACAAGTACAAACAGATAGGAGGGCAAAGTAAAGGAACGCGAAGCAAATTTTGACTTAAAACTTTCGTGACTGCAGGAATTCATATTCTTGGTTCTTTCGGTAAAGTCACGTAAATAGAAAACAAAAAACAATAAAATAAAGACCGCTTGTGTTGCGATTGAAACGTCCTGGGTTTTTTGCTTTTATTATTTTCAATTTATTTTTTATTTGTTTTATGTATTTAATTATTTAATTTGAATTTGATTTCTTGTTTTCTATTTACGTGACTTTATTTACGTGACTTTACCAAGAATATGAACGCTAAGCAAGTCATGAAATAAAAATATGTAAGAGTTCAAATTGCATTAGTGCATCAATTCCTGCCAAATTTTTTTATCACCAAATGCCATTTTGGGCAATGCAGTATAACAAAAACAATCCCAGATGTTTGGCTAGTACCAGTTACAGTGTATGTTTTTGTTGTTGTTTTGCTATGGGAGTAAACCCATGCAGAGAAAGGGACCAGAATTAGGAAAGCGAAACCAGGCACTCCTTCAGAAGATGCCATGCACGGGCGTGACCACTGCACCACCCTGACGCCCAAACAAATGTAATTCAAATAATCTACAATACTGGCAAATAAACCCTATTAGTGTCAACCGAATATCCGGACAATCTGGCCTGTGTATAGCTGCATCGGTGTTTCTATAAGTCGTATTCAAATTGCCTGCTATGAATAATATTTTAAAGTACAGGTTGCCCACCTCTGGTTTTATTTAACTTACCAGTTGTACTCATTCTGTTTGTCACAGGTAATATGGCAAGGAAAATATTTCGCAGCACGATTAGGACAATTATGGTGACACATGTGACCCCCTCTACACAAGTAACAGTTGAGAGTCAATGCTGTGATGTTGTGCGATTGGTGCAAGCGACCCCATCGTTGTGTTTTAATGTTGAGCAGTTAAACTTGCACTGTTGTGGGGTGAGGTCAAGGCCGATGTCTGCTTGCAGCGGTGTCAAGATGAGCGTTTTGAAGAGGCTCGCGAAGGATGATACTTGGCAGTTGGGTGCAGTCTCCCTCCATTAACAACAGAGGGCAGAGGAGCGACACTCACAACAATTGGCTGAGCACTGGGCGTATACAACGCATGAAGTCGGCAGCAAGTTTATCTCAGGGAGTTGACCCGCACACGACAACTGGGTCTGTCCCGCGTGTTCACGCTATAACGCGGTTGCCTTCATTTAGGGAACGCGCACCGCCATAAGGCGACTTGTGAGCGGTCGACGCCGAACTACTTTCTTGAGCTGCGCGGTTGAGCGAGACGAGACGGTAACGCGGCGGCGTCCCCTCAAGTTGTTTGTAACCCAATTCTGACTGCGCAGTAAGAGGCGGTGGGGGGGTCACCAAGTGACACGCAGCTTGACCGTGGAGTAGACCGCGAGGACGCCAACGTCGCCTAGGCAACGCCGCCCCCCTCTGGCTCTGCCTGCCTCGCTCTGTGCACGTGAGGTGTCAACCACGTGACGCGGGCCACTGCGCGCGTTGCGTCACCGCTCACCGTGGGGGGCCCCTCCGCTACGTCCACATCGTACAGTCGCACATTCATTAATAGTCACACTCTTAATCATGTTTATGGTCATCGTCATTAAAGGTGAGTTTAATAATACTACTACACAATGTGTGCATTAATATATACGGCATGAATAAAATGCACCTGTAAATATTCTAAGTAAGTTTGACCTGACATTATTGCACAACAATTGCCCAGCCACCGTGGGATGTTTATCCTCCAATGTGTATCTGGCTCTGACCTGACTTATATAAAAGTGCAGCTCTGCAATTGCTTGGTCACACCACCACTGGTGAAAAGACCTTCATGAGAGCGAACTCTTTACGAGTATTTGGTCTACTTTTCCATATAACAATAGGGTTTACCCTTTCTGGCAATACAACAGGTGTCAAGATGTTAAAACACCAAACAGAATCCTTATTCAAGGAATCCTGTCTGCATTAACCACACGTACTTGTGGTGAACATGGAAACATGCTCTGATAATATATGCATTGTCTTTGAAACTGATTAGTCCACACCAGGAAGGTCCCATATTCTACTTTTCCACGTTGACCAGATGTGTTGGAAGAGCCGGCTGAAAGCCACACTTTGCTGCATCACACACGACTTGCCGATCAGCTAACTGTGGTGTACCCATTTAGCGACCTCTGGTCTGTGAGTTCAGTTTACTAACCATTAACAGCATGGCAGCTTTCTAATTGGCTTTTTGTGACAATTCACCTGTGTCATTATCTCTTGCACAGCCTGAAATAAGTTTTGGCGTAAGGGAAGGAAATTATGACTCACCCACCTGCACCTGCCTTGTGCTCCCAGACACCTAAGGACCTTACTACCGCTGTGAGAAATTGACGGGCGTAGACTGCTGCATGGCGATGATGTATTCACGTCGTTCCTGCTGTTTTCCTCTTTTGCTAGGTGATGCAATTGGTGTGCCAACACCTCCAGATGCAGTTCCTGAAGGACGTGGGCATTCGGGACATGTTCGTTTTGCCTGCGAGTTTGTCCGAACACACAGGGAAGTCAGCCTGTTCATCGAGGTGCGTTTCCCATGTTTATTTCACTCGATTGGTCGTCTGTTTGCAAGGTCATGCTGTGCCCAGAGGTCACCCACTGAGTTTTTTTTACCGTAACATTACCGTCACTTGGGTTTGGTGATCGATTCAACAGGGCAAAAATATTTGTAAGAAGCGTAAACATGGCAACGTGATCATTGTCAGGACACGGAGGACCTTCAGAATGCCGAGTATGATCTTTAAATTTATCCTGGGCCTCGGTTCGGGGGATATTTGAACAATTTGAATATTGGGGAGATATCGTCTTGCTACGGGTCTGAGTGAGAAGTCTCCCAGCGGTTTTTTGAGTCCATAATCGAGATTTTTGGGTTAGAGCACGTAAACATGCACTCAATGATACACTAAATATGCACTATTTATTTATATATACAGTGAGGCAAAAAAGTATTTGATCCCCTGCTGATTTTGTACGCTTGCCCACTGACAAAGAAATTATCAGTCTATAATTTTAATGGTAGGTTTATGTGAACAGTGAGAGACAGAATAACAACAACAAAATCCGGAAAAACGCATGTCAAAAATGTTATAAATTGATTTGCATTTTAATGAGTGAAAAAAGTATTTGACCCCTCTGCAAAACATGACTTAGTATTTGGTGGCAAAACCTTTGTTGGCAATCACAGAGGTCAGACGTTTCTTGTAGTTGGCCACCAGATTTGCACACATCTCAGGAGGGATTTTGTCCCACTCTACTTTGCAGATCTTCTCCAAGTCATTAAGGTTTTGAGGCTGACTTTTGGCAACTCGAACCTTCAGCTCCCTCCAGAGATTTTCTATGGGATTAAGGTCTGGAGACTGGCTAGGCCACTCCAGGACCTTAATGGGCTTCTTCTTGAGCCACCCCTTTGTTGCCTTGGCCGTGTGTTTTGGGTCATTGTCATGCTGGAATACCCATCCATGACCCATTTTCAATGCCCTGGCTGAGAGAAGGAGGTTCTCACCCAAGATTTGACGGTACATGGCTCTGTCCATCGTCCCTTTGATGCG